TCAAACTACAGTTTAATTAGATTTAAATAAGTATTAAGATTAATGAATTATATATAATCGTGAAGATCTCGATTGTTATATTGAACCGTGTGGCCTGGTTTTGCGGAGCCGAGTATCGCAAAATTAACGGAACGGATTCGATCCATACTCCGCATTGCGGGTAGCCTGCTTATAATCTTGAAGGCGTTTTAAAACATCCTTGTTTCCAATCTACTTTACTTGAAAAGAGGCAACTCTTTAAGCGAAATCTACATATGACTGATAAACTATAGTTACCTACATTTTTATTTTAAGATAAAGAATGTTTATTTTTATATAATCTTCCTCAGCCAACTTTCCTGATTCTTAGAGTGCCCCCATTTTTTTTGAGAGTAAAAAGATTGGAATTGACTAACTAGAGCAAATATTGGAGACCATTGAGTATACAAAACATACGGGCCAGGCTCTCTCAATGTATGAAAATCATGGTCTTAATAGATAGAGTTGAAATAGTAGAATTTTATGAACCAAAAGAACTGCAAAATGTATAAGCTTTGCAGATTATTATTTGTAAAAGGGCAGGGGGGGGGACTTTTACCTTGCCAAGCGAGACATCCATGTGGCAAAGACAGTATTGTGCAAGTTAGGTAAATTTTTTACTTGTATTGCACCAGAAAAAGTATAAAATTTGGAAAAGAATGTGATGAACAATAAATTTTATTTCCTAAAAGAATGGAAAAATGACTTAATATGTACTGAATTTGAGAGTGGAATACTTAAGCGCGCAGGATGCTTCTTAAATATTGTTCTCTAAAAATGAAAGAAGTACATATCCTTGTTTCATGAAGAATTTTTCACAAAAAATGCAATTTGTCCAGTAAAATTGGGAGATAGACTCACAGGTATTATATGTTCTTTTGAGCTTGCCTTGTCGAAATTTTTGGAAAATCCAGTTATAAAGGTGGAATTCTTTCCTTCTTTCAGGAATTGAAAATGATCTATTCCTAATGAGAAAATCTTTCTAGCTATGTGATTTTCTTAGTTGTCAAAATAACGAAGGAACCTTTCAAAATACTTGAAATACAATAATGTTTAGTTGTTAAGAAGAGAGTTGCCTACTCTGATAGGATCTTTTACTATGTAACATATCAATAAATTGTCCCTATTTTGGTTAAACTTTTTCCACTTTTAGCCTCAGCAGTATTATAAGCAGGTTAGGCATAAGGTAATCAGTGCTATTTTTGTTATTGTTGAATTGTAAGACTGTTGTGTAAATAAAGATACGTATATTGACCGTTAAAGCCCGTTTTTTTTTTGTTATCCACTGCGTTTCCTTCTGTTCACCACGGCTTTGGCGCGACAGACGTCGCACAGTGGACCGAGTCAATAGGAGAGGTCGGATAAAGTTTGGAAAATTTAAACGCTGTTAACTCCGTTCATACAAAATTTTGAGGTTCTAAAAGTGGTTTCATTGGTTTCTTCGTGAAATTTTCTTCTTAAGGCACTTTTTTAAAATTTGAAGTGTGACGAGATAAACATAAAAATTTGCAGTTTTAGTCAGTCAAAAACTTTCATGTCCGACCTCTCTCATTGAATCGATCCACTGTGCGTCGGTAGTAGCGCCTGAGTACCACTATTGATGGTTAATAGTTAAATGGCTATCCGACTTCCGTGTGGCATACACAGAAAATTGTAGGCGCTCTAGCTTTTCGAATAAATTAGATAGCTAACTAGTTTTGATTCCATATTAATTTGATCTCTACCTAGTCTTGATCTCAAATATCTTAAACAAATCTACAAAAAAGAATATTGGTGTATACTTATTCCAGTTAAATTAATCAAAGTTTAACTCCTTTTAGAGGTATTGAGAAGTGATCGGGCATAACTTTTTAAGAACTGATTTTGCGTGAAGTCAGTGTTTTATGTCAGTAAAGTCAAATTCGTAAGTTTTTATGTCACACACGTATCGACGGTTAAGTCTGCAACTACGTATCTTAGTTTGCGACGACGCAGACTTCCTGTCATACTTGATTTTTTGTAAAACCACTCAACGAAAATGCTTAAAAACTGCCATGATTTTTCTTCTCTGTGCGAAGAAAATTCTGCGAAAACTTCAAGGAATAATGCCGATTTCCTAATCTTTAAAAAAATAAAAAAGGAGTAAAGATTTTCAAACACAGCAAACGAGATACGTGGTTGTGGACATGGACCGTCGATATGCCACTTTTCATTCGTTTTGAAACATCAATGAAAACCATCAAGTGAACGTGCCGTAGAAAGGAGGGGTGCATAAGACGCGTTAACTCGTGTTGGACACATTTTTTGGGAAAGCCCCTTCAACACTGCTAGCAAAAGTTAAGTTCCGTAAACCTACTTCTGTGCGGACAAGGCCCTCCATTACTAATAAATAAACGAAAAAATTATGAAAGAAAAAATATAAATGTGGTTTAAAAATGTTTACTTCCGCCGCCGTGCCGCGCAGACCGCACCGTATTTGGCGCAATGCGTGAAGTATTCTTACAGTCATGTAGGCGCTTTGCGTTTCACGCCGACCGCTGCTGAACGCACTGTATTTGACGCAATGCGTGAAGTATTCATGCAGTCTTGTAGGCGCTATGCGTTTCACGCTGACCGCAGTGACCGAACAGTGTTGATGCAATACGAGAAGTATTCATGCAGTCTTGTAGGCGCTAATATGAATATGTGTTACATGCCGACCGCCGCGCCGAGGGCTTCTCCTTTTCATCTCAAGCCCTCGTCATCCTTACTAGTCGTAACTTTTCCTTTCGCACTGTCTGTACGGAGAGAGACAGGACAAAACGGTATTGCGCGGCAGAAAAGGACAAGTTTTCTGGAACAGGCGCTAAACTTAAATGTATACAACGGTATCTAATGACTCAAACATCGATTTGAAAAGAGAGGCGAGGAAAATAAATTAATGAATAATTATAAGTAATTTAAAAAAAAGGAGAAAGTCGTCGAAGAGATTCTAGTTAAATTGATGCACGTGCAGAAAATAAAATTCAAAAATTATCTCAGATATTTTTTTGTTCGGTCGAAGGTTCTTATACTCATACTTATTTTTCCCTTTTCAAGAAAAAACATACAAATGTAATGAAAAGAAACATTAAAATGATATTTTTGGTTTTATCTCGGAAAAATCATGTCCACGTCTGATTGTAGATATTCATATTCCGATGGTGTTAGTCGGCAATCACATAACTTGGGTTGCGACGTAGCAGACTTCCTGTCGCACTTTATTCTTTAAACGGAAAACTGCTCGACAGCGATTCTTTAAAACTGCCGTGATATTTCTTCTCTGTGCGAAGAAAATTCTGCATAAACTTCAAGGAGATATATCGATTTGTTCTCCTTTAAGAAAATAACATAGAGGCGGGGATTTCCAAACACCGCAAACGAGATATGTGATTGCGGACTTACGCCGTCGATTTGTTCACCTGCAAAAATTAGGAAGTGAAAAACTTGCAACGTCGCAAAGTGAGGTATGACTCATTTTACCCTCACCACCGGTGATGAGAAAGTGTGTCACAGCACACGGGCTAGTAAGAAAGACCACGGGCAGTCGTGATCTTCCGCCATCAAATGAAAGCGACGAAGTTGAAGGCGCCCTGAGCAACTATTCCACCACAGAAGTATTGCACAGTATCAAACGAAAATGAAGGCGCTCCACCGTACGTAAATTGACCGGTATCGTTCACCATTGTCCGAAGTCTTCCTGATCGTACGATATACGACTCCTGTTCGATCGATTTTTGTGAAACTTGGTACCAAGCAAAATTGTTTGACGTAGAAGTCAAATTTATTGTCAAATTTTCAAAATTGAAGATGGCAGAAGTTGCTTTACACGATGCCAGGGCGCCTTCCAGATTGTCCTACTTTGAGATCAAGATATCTAATCTTTTTCTGTTCATTTTGAAATTAGATGCAATCTCAGATAATTTGAACCTCAATATAGGGAGGGGGAAAAACATAATGATGATAATAAGATTTTGATTTTTCTAATTTTTTAGATATTTTTGTCTCCTGGTCGAGGAGATGATGGTTGAAACCACTCCGAAACGTTCAATACATTTATGTTTGTTGTTTTTTTTAGCCTTGGGTACCCGTTCTCATGTATTTTTTAGTTACTGATCAGAATTGTTTAGGGCATTCGTGGAAAACAAAAAACAGCAACAGCTCCCCATTATCGTTCAAACATAGGACAAAAAAGCTGTGAGCTTTCACAAGTGTAAAATCACCCGAGTTTTCTTGCGTCTTCGATAGGTAAGCATTAGTTGTATCAATGCAAGTTGCTCTCCAAAATTAACATTTTATTGTTTACTTATAGCTCTCTTCTCTCCTAAATAATCTACTGCACCAATCTTAAATAATTTACTGAAATCAAAATTCAACAAATTTTAATTTTTTTTCTAATCTTTCTCAACTCCCTAATATAATATTTTCTCCTCTTTCTTTCTGAAACCTTAGGTAACACTCTGTGGCCTTGACAAGTATTTCTGGCAGAGATCGGACGAAGGTTCGATTATGCCGATGACGTTATTTGCATTTTTACAATTTTACCAATGTTAAGTGTAAAACCTCGTACCTTGTTTGGGAGTTGCTTTTCGGACTTCTCGTCGTGCGATTCGTTTTCCTCTGTGCGAGATTTTGAAAAGAAAATGTGCTGCGTGGCATTTTAATTCACACCTCCTCTAGAGGCTCATTGGAAAAAACTATAAAGTACTTATTTGAGAAAGAGGCAGCGTAAAAAGTTTAAAAAAAAAAAAAAAAAAAAAGGACAAATTACCTATTTAAAGGGTGAAAGTCAAATAAAAGATATTGAACATTCCGTACTCTGGAAGCATTTCAGATGACAAAAAATAATCATTAAAACAGTTAAAGAAATAGTTACTTTTAACCATTATTATGGCACATTATTAAATAACTCACTACCTCTCTCAATTTTTTTTCACTCGTGTAACTCTACCCTTGGATAATACATACAAAGAAGAATGCAGTTGTCTGTGTTCTTTTTTTTTTATTATTGTACAGAAATCATTTTCAGTCAAAATACCTAAGACAAAACTTAAAACTATGCACAGCCTGATTCAGGTAACTCAGGTAACTGATAAGAAAGGATACAATTGATTGTTTATGCGATGTTTATCCTTCACTTAAAAAATTCGTTTGTGAGAATTACAAATTTTAAAAAAAGTTTAGGAAAATAAGACAATAAACTGAATGAGCCAAGTGAACAACAACCATTCATTACTTGCATCAGATCATTGATATACAGATATTTTTCATTGTTGGTATTTTGAAATATCATGGTTCCAAACATTTATCAACTGAAAAACATGCTAATACAAAAAAAAATACTTGAGTAGGTAAGGAATACAGTACAGTAAATGAAAACGTAATTATTTCTCTGCCTGGTTTCACTGTAAAATGGCTCAGAATTTCAAAGGCAGTTGCCTAAAAAAGTAATATTTAGGACTTTCATTATGGCCTTGCGATGAAATTTTCAGCACACTTCAATAATTAACACTGGAAGTATTTAACCAAAATCATTCTAAACATATGTCATGTTGTCTAATTTCTTTTCATGAAGTATCTGTTTAAGGCAGAACTGAATAACTTTGTGACTTAAAACTCTGGATTTGTATTACATAGAAGAGAGAACTAGTATCAAAACTTAACTTAGAAATCTCACCAATTAATGTAATACAAACCATGCTTAACTCCCAAGAAAATTGGAACTTAATCCAGAACTACCTTACTAAAATACTTAAACACAAAATAACCTTAAATAACACTTCAATTACCAACCACACCCCGACACTTATTGTTGCAGCCGGAGAAGAGTCCCCCTCTAGGGATGATTCCGGCACTATCCGGGCAGATATGCAGCCGTGAGTTTGGTTTAGTTGGTCGGCTCGATCTCGGTCCCCGATCTCCCTAGCCAGCTCCTGATCAGAGCATTTTCTAATTTAGAGCCAAACCAACATATGATAGTTTAACCATCCAGACAATCATCTGGCCGAAACCCACCCCATGTTGGGGTGGTAGCGCAAAACAGATGAGAGTCAAAATCCCTGACTACGTATAACACAGCCATCTGCCGGTAGAACTACAAAAAAAAAAAAAAAAAAAAAAAAAAAAAAACTCTGGATTTTCTCCTGGATTAAAAAGAAAGTATGTAGTCATAGAGTAATTCTAAGTCTGAGTGTTGCATTGTTTCCTGGTGAATAAATAAAACATGAGAAGAAATTGGACAACATCGATTGTAGTTAGGTTGATTCTGATTCCAAATGTACACTGTACAAGCAAAACCAGTCCACACGGGCCAGTCATGCCTGTGGATGAATATTGAGACCCTGCTCAGCATTGGCGGCAGGAAGTGTAAATGCAATGCATATCTTATGGGAGCAGCCAATGATACGTTCACTGGCTCCAGTCGAATGATAGGTGGGCGGGGAGGGGGGAGGGGTGGACATCCAAAAAAATGCAAAAAGACGGACTGGTGTGGATTGGTCTTGTGTACGATTAAGTTATATAAAATTTTCCAGTGGAATTGGTTACCTCATTCTAGGAGATACATATATTTTTCTACTCCCTAAATCAAACCGACCAAAAAAATAAACATAAGAGTGGTTTTATTTTCAGGTCAGGTTTTCTCATTTGTTTAATGATTAACTTTTTCCTCAATTCACATGCACCAAATCTTCAAAATATTTCAATAGATACAAATATATGAAAAAATGGAGAAAGGGTTCGAAGTTTAGCCAAGTCAAGTAGCAGAGGTCGCAACAAATTGCAATCACATTGTCAAATTAATGCTATTGCATGAGAGGGTTGTGTATGTTGTCTATTGAGCAACTCAGGGTGCTCCTCGTGGTGAAATTTATTCACATAAAATTGAAAAAAGTTGGAATCTTATTTTACATTGCAGATTGCATACTTCTCTCACATAAGGAACAAATTTTTTTCATCATTAGAAATTGGCTTTTATTGAGGAAAAATGATATAAAAATATCGCAATTTCGCAGAGACCGATTGTAATTTCATAGGATGAGATTGCAAAATTTTTTTGCAATGCAAATAGCAATATTTTCGTTGCATTTGTGCTACTTGGCAACTGTATGCTCTCAACTATCAAAAATGTTAAGAAGCTTTGAAAAACTAACCAAGGTGAGAGCTACCTGGTAATTAATTCAACTCTTTCTTTTTTTGATTTGGTATTTTTACGGACAACTATCATTCTATATTTGGTAAAAATTACTTGGCATTTCAGCCAAATTGCACAGACAACATACTAATTGCACCGCCTCCTTCCATGCCATCAACTAGGATACTCACAGGTTCATCAGGATGATGTGCGCCTAGCACATAAAGCAAGGGCAAATAATGTTCTGATGTTGGCACTGAAAGCTTGCCATATTCATGCTTCATAAAATTCACAAGCGGGTGGTCTTTTGCTTCCATTTGCACGTTGAGGTTTTCCCGGACATATTTGTTGAAGTTTACGGCCCATGGGTAGACATCATCACCATCTTTCCAATCCCACTTTAGCTTTCTCAGGTTGTGCACCACATTACCACTTGCTACAATCATGACGCCTTGATCACGCAATGGAGCCAGTTTTTGACCCATTTCAAAATGCCATGCCGGTGGTTTCGTTATGTCTAGACTGAGCTGTACCACAGGTATGTCTGCTTTTGGGTACATATTGATGAGAACAGTCCAAGCACCATGATCAAAACCCCACTCCTGATCCATCTGCACAGAGACTGGCGATAGAAGCTCGGCAACCTGTTTCGCAAGCTCAACTGAGCCGGGCGCAGGATAGCGTGGTTTGTACAAGGCCTTGGGAAAGCCGTAAAAATCATAGATCGTGCGGGGATTTTCCATTGCTGTTACAGCTGCGCCTTCCGTAAACCAATGAGCAGATATTGCTAGGATGGCACGAGGGCGAGGCAAACTCTCGCCAGCCTTTTGCCAAGATTCTGTGTAGCGATTCTTTTCTATCCCATTCATTGGACTGCCATGGCCCACAAACAGTGCAACCATTCGTGAGAGACTCATGACTAGTCTTAAGAAATAAGTATTTCTATTATAATGGCACAGTTTTAATTGATGAATGTCCGGATGCTTGACAAAATTCAAATAGCTGAAATTTTAAGTGTCCTGAAACAGATAAAGTGAGCATGTTTAAGACAAGGTGTGGACATATTTTAATACCTATGTGGAATTTTTTTTTTGCATATTTCGCAATAGATACATAGTCAACAAGAAACTTATGATTCTTTATAAAGATGTGCTTCACCATATACCTGACGGGATACACTAGCCTTTGTGATTTCACACAGGAGATGTGTCCTGGTTTTATTACAAGTCATTTATGCCGTCTCGGCTCTAGACCGAAATTAAATCCTCTCTTTTTTTACTTGTGATCTTCTGTTGTTTTCTTTCTCATACTTTATTGTGGGACAAATTTGGACCTCGAAAAATGAGGGTATAGGCAATCTCATTCTTAGACACCAACCTTAAGATGAAAAAAAAAAAAAAAAAAATGAACAGGCTTCTGGAGCTGAATTTGCTGTACCTTTGAAATTTATTCCTAATGCAAGAAGTCATGGCACCTTTAGTTTTTATGAACAGATACAGCAGATTTGATTATTCTGTACTATTTCCTGAGTGTTTTTCAACTTGCATGGGAAGAACATCTTCAAAGCTCGACCTCAAAACATCAATCTCAGCTCACTCAGTGTAAGAATGACTCATACATGAGCTTCAGGGCTGGCACACTATAAAAACTGTCTGTAGTAAAAAGCAAATGCAGAGACTCTCTCAACTATCTTAACTCAAAAATGAAGAAAAAGTAATGGTAAAATCTGACAAGGGATGCAGAATTTTTCAAGCTCCCACGTTTTCACGCGCCCGCTTGCCGGCTGTCCACATTTTTCTCATTAGTTTTCCACAAAATTTCCCACTAATTTCAAAAGTACGGCCCTTTTTCCTCCTCCTTCCTGTGATTTTTGACTTGACCCATAAAATTTTCCCTCCTTCCACATTTGTAAGTAAGAGCCTTTTTATTCCATGTTTTCAAACGCCCGGGCGGGCTCATGATCGAGCATTATCTGCACTCCTGAATCTGCCGTTTTTTGGTGCCAAGAACAAGGCAGGGGGTAAGCAGAAATGCTCTATGTTGCCCTGGGCTGTTTTCATAGTATCCAATGCGATGGTTTTACTGTGCAGAGTCTTTCGTTAACTTTCAGAGTTGGTTTCAGTGATGCAGTGGTCACCACAGTTTTTCCTCAAAACTGAGGCCCTAGATTCGATCCCCTGTGGTCATGGGTTTTTATCAGTACTTAAAAATCCATTTTTGTGGCTGACCTTTCAGAGGGGGATTAAAATTTGCCAAAATTATAAATACTTAGAAATGTTGTTTCTTGTAGGTATGCTTCTTTAAATTACTTGGATTTTTGTTTCTTTTTTCTTTCATTAAAAAAAAAGAAAAAAAGAAGAAAAAAAAAACTACAAAACTTACGTCTTGTGGATGGAGCCTTTTCCTCTTCTTCAGAAGTGACATTCAAAGCTAGAGGAGTATCAGAGCTGATGTCCCTAGAAGATTTCTTCAACTTGACTGCATCAATGTTCTCATCATCGGTCAAAACATTGCCAGAGCAAGCCATGCATGGATCTGGTAAACTTTAGAACAACTTATTCATGGCCAGTGAACCAGGAGGGAAACCACTAAAAAAGAAGAAGAAAATAATGTGATACTACTTAGATAACAAAAGAGAATACAACTCATCAGGAAAGTCAGTTACTCTTGACTTATATTTTTGTGAGTAAAGAAGATGCAATGAAAATTCCAAGATGGTTAAAGCCAGATCGTTCAATGTCTTTTTAATTAAATTTGAACCCAGCTTTAGTTCTGCAGCAAGAAAAAGCAGACCTAAATGATCCTTCACCTCTAGTTAGACGAGCACCAGTGTTCTGCCCTCCCTGGGCGCCATGCGCCAAATGCCCCTAAAAATCGGGCTTGGCTCCTGAATATTGGGGGGACTGAGCCATCATGGTGCCTAGAAGAACTCGCAATCAGGAAGTAGCGGTAGCAATGAAGCGCTCTCTATACGCCTCGTTCGCAGTGCAACCCAAGGGCAATAGTTTGGCTTCTAAAAAATAGTAGATGGCTCCTAAAATTTGGGCTTTTCGGCCATGGTGGCTCCTAAAATTTTAGGGGGAAGACGGAACACTGATGAGCACAATATGATGAGCGTGCTAGGCACGGCCTGAGCTGTTTCTGTTTCACCTTCTCGGTTCACTCCCCTCCCATAATTACTTGATTGGGTACGATTGGAGACAGAAAATCAGACAGATCTACAATGTTGAAATCATGGACATTAGGAGCCAAAAAAGCCCGGGAGTAAACTGTGAACTTTACAGAATGATTCAAGGTTACATACTGGTAATCTGCTTGTGATTGAGTCTCAAAATATATTATCTTGTGTTTGGCTTATGGGAGATCCGCTCTTAAAACCTACAGCATGAAGTGCTAAGGCATAGAATTTATCCTTCTTAAAATTTTTATTCATCAATCCTGAGTGCCTTCAACATGAGAACCCTTTATTGAAGTTTTCGATAGGGTGACAGTGGTATCCCGGGCAGTTCTCTCGCAGACTCAAATTCCGTGCAGTAACGAAACAAGTGTATGGAATTCAAATTGCCAATTTTCCGTAGCGAAAAGGGCACTGAAGTGAGGCAAAATAAGGTACCTAATAAAAGGGGCAAACCTTTTGGAGAGTCACTAGGTGATATGATTGGATATGAAGACACTGCCGTTTAAAATTACAAGTTTGGAGGTCAGAACACAAATTGCAAATAATATGCGAATGATAAGAGCGAAAATGACGAGGCAGTACGAATGAAATAATTCAGATAACTTTTTAAATCACAATTTCACAATATTTGCGCAAATATTCCTCTGAATGCAGGAAGTGTGTGGTGTGAATCGGATGACGCAACCTAACCTATCATTTCCTGAAGTAAACAATAAACAAACAATCTCAAGAACCGCGAAATTCAAAAAGGCGTACTTTGAGCGATTCAGCGATTCGAGGTGAGTTTTTTTCCAGGCAAAGGACGTCATGGCTCAATCACAATTTTATTAGTGAATACTCACGGTGTTTGAGTTCCTCTCCGGCGTACAATATGAGTCCGTAAATTATAATGCAAATATTAGAAAGCGCTCTGTCAAAATTGAAGAGTCACAAACTGTACTGCCGTGATTGGTAAGAATGCCGTATGAGCATTCAAATGTTGCAAAATTTCTTCCCAGAAGATCATTATTTTTAAAGAAAGAATATATTTCCTTTAAATTTTCAGACTTTGCAGATCAAATTACGAAGATAATCTTCTGAAAAATCGGAGGAGCGCGCGATAATATAGATTTTCCTGAAAATTCATGATTGGTCAAACGAAATTAGGTAACGCCTGACAGCTCATACGGTGTTTTTCCTGCAGTGGTTCTTGCCGTTTTTTTCCGAACTAACGCTGAAGCAGCGAAAATATTTACATTTCTTTAAACTTTGAGTAAAATAATACAAATTTTTCAAAAGTCGTCTTCTTTGGCCCCCCAATACTCTCNTCCCTCAATATCGTTCATTTGGGTGCACTCGTTTCGGCCTCCATGGCCAGCCAAGGCCGGCTGCCAGTCAGCTGATAATCGAGTTGTCTTAACTCTGGGTATAAAGGGACTCTAACACTTTTCAAAGGGAAAGAGGAGTCAAACTCACATAAAATTCCAAGATTTAGCCAAATTTCCCTCAGCTAAGAACTGCCTGCTGGAAATCTGTAGTCATTTTTCCTAAAGAAATTGGAAATTTTTCCCATTAGTCATGAATATGCGAGTTTAATTCTTTCATATAACTCTTTCTATAACTCTAAAAATTTCCCTCTTCCTGCTCACAGTAATGCCTGAATCCTGAATCCAGTATCGTATTCGCATGAAGCTACATGCCTTGTCACTGTGTATTGCATTGCAGCATAGCGCGGCGCATCATGTACCCGGACTAGCCTTATTTGAGAAACTCCAAGAGGGACCCCTATCATACCTATTATAGTCTATCCTCCTCTCACTTTTGTTATGCTTTATGCTTCTTCCCTTTTCATTTTCATTTCATTATCGCTTTCTCCATTTTTGATCGTTTTCCATATTATTGCGTGAATAATCACAGATTTCCTCTGGTCTCCAAAGAAATTAGCTCTCAGTCCATTTGAATATTGACCGGGTTCCGCAGAATAAGTGCCGTTGCTTTGCATATTAATTAGTCGAAGCTATAATTTAATTTAATTAGTGGTCCGCCTATCCTTGTTTTTATGTCGACTGACACCCGCTGATAAGTTTGACAAGTCGTGAGTTTCCTTATTCAAGCAGAAGAACTTTCGCAATCGCATTTAATCCGTCTATTTTAGCCGTCCATTTTCATCAATCAATTCTCAAAATGACTTGCAATCTCTCCGAGATCGTCTGGTCCATCAAGAACAAGGAGACTGACTCAACTGCTGAGTTTCTTGACAGGCTGGAGAAAGAGGTTAGTTTATTGCTCGATTTTAAGGTTTCTCACTTTTCTCACCGAATAAACTATGCCTCGATGTATCTCAAGTCATTCTCTTACAACTACAAGACATTAAAAATCTCACTAAGTGTATGAAGATCAATTGAAGTTCTAGATCGTCAATCGCAAGCATCCTGATTGGAGCACCTAACTGATACCAGCGTTTTAGTTTGATCGGATGCATTCTCGATAGACCATAGGATAGGTCTTAAGCCCTGGATATACGATCAAATTCCGATCAAAGTAGCATCAAAGTGTCGGGAGTCATCAGTCTGAAACTCATTAATTTGCTTAATTTAAAATGAAAACTTGGCAGAAATGTTTCCTGTGGCAGAAATTGAGTCGACTGTTCAGCAGAGATTCCTTCCTTGAGCTCGGAAGGTAGGGTTGACAAAAATCCTGCCGAATTTCCATCGTAAACTGTCTGGTGCGCAATCGGGAGCATCGATGTTTCCTTTCTGCAGACTCACTGCACTCCCCACGCGCCGCAGGATTTTTGTCAACCCTCGCCTATCGGGCCAAGCAGGAATCTTTTAAATTCAAACCAAATTAAACGCCCTTTTTTTTTAAAGGAAAATCTGCGTGATTTCTCTTCTATTATCTATATGATTAGGAATTTTAATTAATAAAGACCATAAGGAATACAAAAAATACAAATAAGGGGCCGTCCATAAATTACTTAAGGCTCTCATGGGGAGGGGAGGATCTATAACAGCCTTTCGGTGCCTTACGAGGGGGGAGGAGAGGGCACGGCGGAGCCTTACGTCAACTTTTTAGCCTATATTTCAAGAAAATGCAAAAATCCATTTTTCGTCAGGTTAATAATAAAATTCAAGATGAAATAGAGGAAATCAGGAAACCACCGATTGCTGGCCGATCGAACCATGCCCTATCATTTCTCTTGATTCCCATTTCTCCACTCATTCTCACGATGATGAGTAGTGACTTCATCCTTACGTCAACTTTATACTTTTAACTATTTACTCCCAAGGCCAAAAAAATCTTCAATTTTGCTCCATATTTTTGTTTATTAAACTAATTATATCATGAATCTTTCTTGTGAACTTACTCCAGAAATTTAGTTTCACTTAAACAAATTGTGGCTTAAAAATTTCATTTTTTTCTAACGGGAAACGTCATGCTTCGATCTACGATAACTGAAAAAAAAGGGGGGGGGCCTAGTCGAGACTTACGTAATTTTTAGAGAGAGGGGGGGGGGTTAAGGGATGCCTTACGGTGCTGCACAAGGAGAAAGTATGGGGGTCCAAAAATGGGGAAAAGGTCTTACGTAATTTATACTAAAGGATGTTAACTGAACACTATGTTACATTAATTTCTGTCTGGCATCTGCTTTTTCCTCCAAGAAAAAACAAGTTTATTGGACGGCCCCTGTATACCCTTATACAAGGACCCTGGACCTTGGATCCAGAAGTTTCTTTGAAGCAAGAGGAGCCCTTTTCAATTACGTTTCAATCAAAATGCAACCCTCACTATTATTTTTTGGAATAAATAACCCTTCGATGCCCTACGCGGCATTTATAAATATGACCAAGGCATTAAAATTTAATAGCCATGGGGCGCGAACCGCGAACCTTCTGATCATGAGGCGAGCGCTCATCCATTTGTCTGCGACGATTGATGGAATAGTGCGGCGAAATTACCAGTTGATAAGGCAAATAAAGTTCTTTCTTTCTCCACTAGAGCTGAGAGTAGAGACGCACCGGTGACACGCTCTTGCTTACTGATGATCTGCGGCAGGATTTTTGTCAACCCTAACCTTCCGAGCCAAGAAGGAATCTCTGCTAAACTCAAACGCCGAAATGTTTCCTGTGGCAGGAAATGATGAATGGTGGCACTCCATTCTGATCTTACTTTGGACAAATAAGTGCGGCCCGTCAAAATTTGATGGTAGATGGTGACCATCAGTCATCAGCATGTCTACTTTGATCGGAATTGGTTCGGAATTTACTTTATCGTCTATCCAGGGCTTTCATGCTAATGACCCGTTGAGTATGTGGAGATTTTGAGGTTTTGACAATTGTTCTTCAACCCTCCCACGATAAGTCCATTTTTTATCCAGTAACTGCCATGGTGGTTGAATGCCGTCCGCACCAGCTCAGCATTTTTTAAAGTGGTGGTTTAAGATGTTGAAGGAATTGCTGAGATGGTTTTTAAAATTTGACAATAGTAGTATGGTGGGGATAATTATTAAACATGTAACATTGACTTGTCCATCCTGAATGCTCCTGATTCAATTCTATCATGGTAGCTGGACTAGAAGAATGTTGCCCATTGCAATTTGGTAGAACTGCAACCATCCTTATCAGTATTTAAGCTGGCTCATAAATAGTAAAATGCACGCCTAATTATCAGAGCAACCATCTGAAATCCCTCACTTACTCTGTCTGAGGGAAAGCTACAGCAACCAGCATAACAATACTGCTGGTCACTGGAGTAGATTTTGTAAGCATTTTGCGGAATGGGTGGCTTGCTTGGTCAATTCTCATAAGTAAAGGCTCTGTGTTGGAAATCCTCCCACTGACACTTGACACAACAAATGAGCTCATCTCATTATGTAATGCTCTAATTATAAGAACCGGTGGATTTGATGTAATTTTATTTTAGAAGTTACATTTTCCCATTTACTTAGTATCCTTTCTTCCAACTTTAAGCTGCTTAGCTTAATACCCTGCAAATTTTCACCAGCAATGTTCAATGGAATACCGCACTTATATTTGGAAGTTCAAATGCATTTTCATTTATTTCAGGCCGGGGACATAAATCCTGCATACAATGGTCGCAACTTAATCCACTATGCAGCAGACTATGGGAATCTTCACACTTTGGAGCTGCTTGTGAAAAAAGGCTGCGATGTAAATGTAAGTTAAATTTTTACATTAGTACAGTAGGTTGAAGTTTAAAATATCAAATCTATGTTATATCCTAATGCACTGAATGTTGGTCTAATGTATTTCTCTGTTACTCTTTTTATATTCTGTCAGTACCAATGACAAGAATGGAACCATAAAAGAGTCTGTTAGTGCTGTAGTAAGTATTATTTTATACATTAAAATACTTAATCAAAAAAATTATGTTTCTGGTATTTAATCTACCTTTACAAAAACTTCCTACATAATCTTCATGGTGACAGTAATGAATGAAATGGTAGGTATTTACCAAGTCAATTTGCAACAAGGTGCTAAAGTATTGCTGGGTCCACATTATTTCTTGGGGATGGCAAGGCCAGAAAATTCCAACTTCAGATTAAAAAATTTAAGCTGTGATAAGTATCAGTACATGATTGAGGGGATAGAGCTGAGGCAGAAGCTTGGGAGTAGGTACTAAGCTAGGGTTAAAGCAGAGAGATCTATAAAATTGCGGGTCTTTTTAAACCTCATCAGAAGATCAAGCTTGTCAGCAAGATTTTTAGTGTTTTTCTCTTGTTCCAAATACATCCGTTGGTAGGGAGTAAAAATGTATTTAATTCTATACTGTGAAGGAATAATACTAATAAGGAATAATAATAATATTTAGAACAGGTCACTCTGTCGTATTCCAGGTGTGGAATAATTTTGTTCATATTTTTTTTATAGATTATGGACAAACATGAGATCACGCCTTTACTAGCAGCAATTTGGGAAGGGCATGCCAAATGCGTCAAGTTCCTCATTGACAATGTAAGTTCTCCATAACTTTTCTTCATACCTGTTTTAAAGTTCCAAGAATTTAGCCATTATTTTTTAATTTTTGTGAACGTTATTGTGCAACTTGAAAATTAAAGATGAAGCAACAGGAAGGTAATGATGGAGAAAACGAAAATAGACCACCGCAAATTCAAGCATTATGATACATGTCTGTCATTAAAATTTCATGTACAACATGATTTAAGCAACGGAATTAAGTATTAAATGTATCTCCTAACCAAAATATTGGTGTTTACCTACGCCTAAATCCAAACTGCCTGCTCCTTTAAAACCATGATGTATTTGAATTAAACACACAAACAACGTGAGCATGACAGTTTCTGGGGTGTGGAAATACAGAAACCTCAATCTTTGAGCTTTAACTCCGCTGTTGTACGTTGTTTACACTAAAGGCAAGGAAGGAATGCTGCTCAGTTGAAAAGCCTGCCCATACCATTGTAGTGAGAAATTTGATTCAAGTAACCTTTAGTTTTTCTTTTGAGGGGGAAATTCAAGCTTTCAGTAACCTGAGCTAAAACTATATGATAAATTTTTGGTTAGGAGTTGATTCCTGTAATTTTTTTCACACGAATTGTGTTCTCTGTGAAATTTTGAAGAGGAAACATATTTTGGAGTGCTTTAATTCGAAAATTCTCTGGTGGTCCATTCTGAGAGATAACATTGCCCAAACTTATTTCCCTGAAATTTTTGTATTTTCTCCAATGATATGAATGAAAAATATTGGTTTCCAATTTGTCACCCTGGTGGATACCTACAGAGGACTTTAAAAACTGGATGAATTTAATGAGAATCAGCCCATCTACATTCCATATCGCCACTCTTCCCCTCTTATTTCATCATTTTCATCAGAGAATCGAACAACCAAATGCCCTAAAACTACCCCTGAATTTTTCTGAAATTATGAGGATTTTATTTAAAAAATGTGCACCTTGTGTAGTAATTTCTTGAGATGATAACTCAACTTTCAGTTTCTGTGGATTAAGTTCCCCCTTTTTATGGACAGCTATAATCGGTTTTCAAGGTATCAATATATTATTCAATTTTCTTCTCATAGGGAGCCAATTTGAGTTGGAAAACATCAGATGGCAAAACATACTTGGAAAGCACCGATGATGAAGAAATCAAGAAATTGGTGATAGATGGACTCAAGAAGCAAAACTTACCAGTTGCCTAAACTTCCCAATTTGCCATGGACGGAGCAGAGATTCATCATGCAGCTCTCAACTCAACACTGATATGTACTTCGTACTTAGATTTAAGACAGTCCTCAGACAAACAGTGTGAAAGGTTTTCCATTGTGTACCTAGCTATTAAATGAGGTTCTCCCAAACGGATCTTCATTGATAGAAGAATGTCAACATTATTGTGAATAGACTGATATAATGGCTACAGCATTCATCATATATTGCAGTTTGATGTTTCCATTGTAAATGGACACATAAGTAGTCTTTTTGAGCGCGTTTCATTCAAGATGGAAGAATGCATGTAACTGTCTCTTGCATTTTAAGTTTCTAATGTTTAATGAGTTATTGATTGATTTATGATTCATTAATTGTTGTTTCCTAGGCGAAGGAACGTATCTCAACTCTACCATTGCAAAATTCACTAAATTAATTTATCTCTTACTTCAATGACGGTGTAATGGCTGCCCAAAATAGCATTGATTTTTCACTTAATCCCTAAAAAAATCTGTGGAAACATGTCGAATAGTTTCCAAGTTAAAATAAAAATTTCGAGCCAAAATTTGGCAATGGTGATGCAGGGCTGCGTGCTATTGTCAGGAAAACAACGTAATGACAAAATCGTAATGGACTAACACAATAAACTCTACAGAGAATTTGGACATGAGGTCATGTTCCATTGTTTCAGTTGGAACCATCAAAAATTGATACAAGTAGTGTGAGGATGATGTAGCCATCTAATCTGTCTGCATAGGTAAAATTACCTATTCATTTGAGACTTTGATTGTACCAAATTTTTAAGAACAATGCTGCTACATAATATGAAGTCATATTTATAGATTTGGCAATAAATGAAAGAGGGGGAATAATTACTATTAGCCAGTTCCTTGTATTTTAATACTACGACAGCTTTTTATGCTGAAAGTCCTTCTTAAAAAGTATTACTTGATCAGCAGTCTCATCTTTGAACTCATTTTGAATTTATTCAACAAATTTTGTTTTGCAAAAAACACCACTGTTTTTAACTTGCTGTCTGAGGACTTAAAACTTTTTTTTAAAATAGAGAGTAACTGCACCATATCAATCATGAATTGGAAGAAAACTTGTCTTGATTGCTCTGTTTTAAGATTTTTTATCTTTTCCCCTTTTATTTCTCTTTTAAATACAGCAATGATCCAATTATCCAACGCTCTATGGCAAGAGCCGCATCATGGCTGGTTGAATGCGATAAATGAGTATATCCATTGCAACGCGTAAGAATCTCCAATTATACTTTTTTTTTCCAATTCAAGGAAAATTAATGAAACATTTTTCTTGTAATTTTCTGTGTTTTTTTTCGGTTTTTGAGAAAATTCACGGAGATTCAATACAAACTGTTGTTTAGTTTTCCTTTGAAAAAAATTAAACATGAAAGGAGATTTACACTGTTGCCATCTGAGGTACGCATTTTCTGACTACAGCCAATGACTTGTGAAACTATGAGCAGCTGCAATCATAGGCTTGTGTTTTTCTAATTTCATCATAACCAATTATTTTATCTTTCTGATTCTTTTTCAGGAAGAAGAAATTATTCTTAGTCTTGCTTCCAATTTGCAAAAGAAAGAAAGAAATAAGATGGGTCTTGACTATTTTATAAGTCCTAGGCTCTAGAGCTGATGTCATTTTATTTGGACCGGCTTGGTTTAGTGGCTATGTCATAGTTTTATATTGCAATTTCTATGGTTTAAATATAATTAGACGCATAACCTTGTGGTGGTAAAATGCGTCCAGGTGTTTCTTGCAATCGAAACTTCTCAAGTTCAATGAGTCATCAATTGACCTCTGACTTGTCAATGATAATATTGTAATTTATTAACACAATTAACTCGCTTATAGTTTGGACATGAGATTATGTTGATTTGCTTTGGTTTGAACCATTGCAGATCAACAATGCAAAAAATTACTGCAAGAGTGATGTAGCCACTGAATCAGTCCAGTAACAGAAAGGAGCGCACTCAAATGTTTATGAAATGTGAGTTTTGGGTACTTTTAAGTGGATTTAAGACTGAAAATAAATTTGCTTGATTTTATAAGGACAATAGTCAATCGATGACTTAAATCATCATCTTTTTTTTTTTTTTTTTTTTTTTTTTTTTTTTTTTTTTTTTTTTTGATGTTTTAGATACATGTTTGTTGAATCCAATCTGTCATATTAAGTCCTTTTAAGGAGCTCCTGAAGCCACCTTGAATTTAATCATCTCTTAACTGGAACCATTGAATGTGATAAATTCTTAACAAACTTCTCAACCTGTGTGTCGCTCCTTTTCCAAAATGATTTGCATGTTCCATCCAAAATGTTTGACATTTCATTCCAAATTTTTTTCGTTCCGGTTTTATCCTTCTCTCTTTTTTTAAATTATGAGGTATGAGTCGTTCAAGCTTTGGGTGTGAACTGAAAAATTTGTCTCTCCTTCTGTTTTTAATTTTGAATGGCATGAGCCTGTGAGCTTTAAACGTTTTCCATTTCATTGATTTTCAGTTAATTTTGCTGAATTTTCTTGTCAAATATTTTGAGCATTTAATACCGGCTGAAGACCCTAAAATTTTTGGTGACGTTATACACAACATCCATGGCTATGCTCACATGATCACCACCTTGTGTTTGTGCACTGGTGACTCTACCTGCGCTTGTTCTTTGTCAAATTTTGGCTTCTTTTCTTACCTAAGTTTGAAGAGTGTTGAGAAAAACTAGACACAATCCAATCTCTATGTCTTTCTACTATTTTTTTTTTTTTTTTTTTTTTTTTTTTTAAACAAAAAAACTAGTCATACCTTTTTGAACTTCATCCCCGTAATGATACTTTTATTCTTTTTTCCCCCTCCTTGAATCAATTTCTAGAATTTTAGCATAGATCGTAACTTTTAGCAAACCATACTTTAATTTTTTAGTTTTACAGGAACTTGTAAAAATTCCCAGCCTGATATATTCAAGATTTTTTACATTTTAAAATTTGTATGAACGTTTTTACCGTCGTGGTAGATCTATATCAAGTTGTAGTGCACCAATAAGAACATGCCTTCATTTTATTCGGGTATTTCTATCTGCCTTAAAATTTTCTTCACTCAAGTAGCAATATTTATGTGTGTAGTCTGTCATAGTTGGTATTAAGTTCAGAAGACACCAATTACATCATTTGTACCAAATTTTCCTACAACCCAGTGAAGAAGTAAAACAATATAGATACCCCTGTCCTTTCCATCCAAAAATAGCATTTAATATTAGTCTGGGATTTTTTAGTCTGATTCAGTTTGATCTACCTGAATTTCTGTGCCTTGGTTCTCCCGAAATTTTTTCTGTCAATTCAACATTTTATCGCTACAAAGTGAAACAGTTCTCTTCATTTCGTTCCTCATTTAGTTCAAGTCAGCTGAGGAAAACCAGCTATTTTTATTCATCTCAGTAATAACACATACTTCATTGATTTCCTTATTGAAACATCAGTGTTTTTATGAAAATCGTCACCTTCTAGCCAAGGTATTACAAGTATCATTTGTGCTTAGGCACCATGTTAGCACTAATGTAGCTTTTAAGCATGAATGGCTCTTTGTGATACTTTGGCCCAAAAGTGAGTACTTGATCTTGCATTTGGTCCTTTTTAAGGAAACTAAATGCTGTCGTGTGTACCATGTTTGAATTAGATGATTTTCATTGACCTTAAAAACGTGGAAGAGTCCTAAGGTTTTGAAAATTTAGAAATGTCCTGGAGAACCTAGGGAAAAATACTACAAAAATCATACATGAATCCTGAATTTATAATATGCAACCAAAAGGAAGTTATATGAAGATATTGTAAAGTGCTTTTCTCAAAATTTCGACTCATAGGTATCCGTATAAAATAGTCAGGGAGATAGTCACGAGCACCATGGATTTTCTGACTTGATGTGTACCTTGCAAGAAAATTTTCCCTGAAGATCGTGAGACTCTCACAGCTACAAGGAATAACGAGAGGTTAAGATAGCATGAAGTACACTTCCTGAGTAATCACAAAATTAAAAATAGGTAGTGCTTTAATTTTTTTAATGAAAAGAACTCATTAGAATTTTTCGCTAATATTTTGTGGTCCCCCACAAGAAAGAACGTATCTCGTTTACGCTGTTTCAGTATTTCTACGATCATTATTTTTATGGAAAACCAGTTCAAAAATGTGCCCTACAATTTTAGAGTTTTTTCCTTATTTAGTAAAGCATTGAAAATTTCAAGCAAATCGATGAGGCGGCTCCTCTACAAAAAATAAAACACATCAATAAGAAATATAGAAACAGCACAATTGAGATATGCTTCCTCGTACGGGAGATGACAATTTATTTAAGAGCAGGATCAGATTTTTAATGGAGTCAGTTTTATTCCCTCCCCTAAAAAATATACTTTGCTACAATCACAGGTGTCAGTAATGAGTCATTTTCTCGAGGTGTTAATTCAAGGATGGTTGAGAAGTTAACTTCATCTTTGCTGTATTCTTCAGCTTTTTTTCTGCATTTTATTCACTTTTCTTCTAATCCTTCTGTCAAGCCTTTTTTCTCATATAAGTATTTTGTAAAAGGATAAAAGTAATCACTAATTATTATTTTATGTAACGTATTAATCAAAGCTTAAAAAAGCATGTGATGATTTTGATTTCTTGTCCTAGATTGTAATGTGTATAGTCAGCTGCATATATTTTGCATTTAACATTAAGTAAACGTTTGTATTTTCCTAGTTTTATCAGTTGATGTGTTTTTTGTATAAATGGAAAATATTTATTCAATATTTTATAATAATAATTTTTCACTTATTTCAAAAGTGTCGTTTTAATCACCTTCCCTATAATTATACATATCAATGGGCAAAGTAAAAAAATGAATCTCCAATTGAGAAGCTGCACATCTCTGCTTATGTTTTATTTTTTTAAATCCTTTTTTTCATTATTTATTCGTGATTCAGAATCCCTCGAGAGAAGTGCTTACGGAGGGGCTCATTGCAGAGGGTCCAAATCAACCCAAGTAGCATAATTTCCAGGGGCGGACTGGCCATGAGGGCGGGGAGGCAATCGCCCCCTAACAATTTGCCGCGGAGGTCCCGAAGGGGCCCCCGCGGCGAATTTTTTTCGAATCATCGTTTTTTTCCCGTAATGTTGTAATTTTCTTATCCTTTTCAATCCCTAAAAGGCCCCGAATTCATTGAAAATTTATCTCTAAGTGACATGGAAGGTCGCCAAAAGCATTTGTGATGAAGGGACCCCCGATGAATCCTGAGAATGGGTTTTTGAAGTTCAAGTACTGTAGAATCCAACTCCAATAATGCCTACGTGTTTAAAAAGTGTGAAATTTTCAAAATTTACCGGGGGAGGGCCCCCGAACGACAGGAGGGGCCCTTACATTTAGGTCTCCTCCTAACTTTTCGACTACCAGTCCGTCCCTGTGTGCCGCTACTGCAGTTTTGACCGTTAAGGCCGTAGTTTAAGGGCGCTAAAGCCAGGATTGTACTTCGCAAACAGATTTTTGCAGAATAATTAAAAATTAAGAAGCAGGAGTAATTTAACTAAATATATGTAATAAACGGAACTCAGATCTATAGTATAATGCAAAACAATTTGGAAAATCTCGTCATGTAAATACAGAAGATTCGAAAACGCCTTCAATTGAAGCGTGATACCTCACGCGTTCCGGGGAGCTAAAATAGTTGTATCCCTGCGCCTTAGCAAGGCGATAGCAGCGTCCCCGCTCTGTTTTTTGGCTTTCCTGTGCCGGTACTGCAGTTTTGACCGTTCAGGCCTTAGTTTTTATGGGCGCTAAAGCCAGGATTGTACTTCGCAAATGGATAGTTTTTGCAGAATAATTAAAAATTAAGAAGCAGGAATAATTTAACTAAATAATAAACGGAACTCAAATCTACAATATAACGCAAACAAATTTGGAAAGCCTCGTCATGTAAATACAGAAGATTCGAAAACGCCTTCAATTGAAGCGTGATACATCACGCGTTCCGGGGAGTTAAAATAGTCGTATCCCTGCGCCTTAGCAAGGCGATGGAAGTTTAATATTGAAGTAGCGTCCCCGCTTGGTTTATTGACTTGCCCGTGCCGCCAGGTGCGGACTGGCCATGGGGGCGGGGAGGCGATCGCCCCTTAACAATTTGCCGCGGAGGTCGCGAGGGGGCCCCCGCGGCGAATTTTTTTCGAAAACGCGACGCCTAAGCCTTACAGTCAACCCCCTCCCCCCCCTCTTTCTTCGGATCTTTTCTGCATTTAATATTTGGGGATACATCTCAGCAAATTGAAGGGCGGGGGAGGGCATGGATTCGATCGACATGAATCGATCGGCACCTATTTGATCGACAAATTATATGTATTAAAAAACCGGTGTCGATTCGATCGACATGAATCGATCGAAAAACAAGGACGTGAATCAACGTTACCAATTCCATCGCCAACCGTGAATTGATCGAAAAACCCGTGAATCGATCGACAGGCCCGTGAATCGGTGTCGATCGATTCACGTCCCTGGTAAAAATTGGCAATAGAATTTGTGTTTCAAAATACCATAGACCTACAGCCGGCTGTAAGATTTCCAATAGCTTCTACAGGGTGATCCAAAAGTCCCTTCCACCCCCTCTAACTTTTTACCTAATTGAGGTAAAGATTTGAAACTTGGGGGATATTCCTAGGTCAAAGGGAGCTACTTTTTGGCCCCCCTAAAATTTT